AATTAAATAACCTAGAGCTCTTGTGTATAAAAATACCTACAAACCTGCACAGTGACTGAGGTTTGCTAAGCACCAAGTTACAGATGAACAAGACACACTCAAGTATACACAAGAAAATTTCTTTATACAAGATGTTACAACTCTTTGGGATTGTTGGGGATTTTTATTTCTTCTGGATTGCTCTCGTCAATGCTTTCACTACTTTCAGTGGCATCATCTGGATTGCTCATGCTGTCCTCCTCAGAGTCTTCCTTCCTTGGTGCTAGACTGGAAACATTTTTCAAGATTATAAAAGCAAAATAACTTACACTAAATAAAACTGTTATTTAAATTAAATGTCATTACCCTGAGTAATTGACTGGCCTGTTGGGATTAGAAAATTCTTTTTCTAAGTCAACATCAAATGGATCTGGAAAAATAAAATGAAAAACACATTTTCTTAATGGTCTTCCTTCATTTTCACAGATTAATGGCAGGGAGGGGAAGGCACAGAAAGGTTAGTTCACATCTCTCATAAGTTTACCATTGTTGTTTGAGGAGAAACTGGGGGAGATGAGAAAATAACTGAAGTCCTGCCTGCCCAGTCTAGGCTTTTCACTCTTTCCCTCACCCCCCTGCAAGCGATTCTGTTGCTCTTTAGAGGTGGTCACATTGAATAAGTAGGTTTCTAAGGCTTTGGGTAAGAAAACACGGTTTAAGTTCTAAAATGGCTATCTAGTTAGCTGATATCCACTAAGATGTGAGTTACAGCTGTCCAGGTTTAGCTCTTGCTGAGTAAGGGTAAGGCTGGGCTTACTTCGACTGAAGCAGCTGGGAAGAACTGTCAGAAAAGTCAAACAAGTCTTGGTTCTGCAGTTCAACCAGAAAATACATAGGATTGTAGGTGGAAGTGTGCTTTAAGTGGCATAGCCATGTTGCCCCTTAAGAGCTGTCTTCAGTTTAACCTAACTAGTTAGGCCTCCAACAAGAGGATGGTTTAATTCAGTACCATGGCAAAGAGATTAGAGCAAGTGAAGGCTATTGACCACCTTGTTGCAGTATGAGCCCCTGGCCTATTTTAAGGGCTTAATCACCATGAAAGGAAAATGTTAATTAGGATAACCCCTTTTCATATGTTCTTGATTATTTGCCTTTCTTTGTGCTGTCTTGAATGAGACCAAGCACTCACTGGTGAATACAGCCTGAAATACTGGGACTGGAATAATTTACTGGAAGACTTTGGGAATAAACTACTTGTACTTATTATAAATTATTCTCATTATATTTATAGATAATTAAATAAAGATCTGATTTTAAACATCTTTATTAAGGACTATATAAATATGTCTATTAAAAGTCCTTAGATTTATGTGTAACTAACTTGGTATCTGACTGTATATGCCTATATTTGTCTTATAGTGCCTTCTCAATTACTAGTCTTTTTACTCATACTCTGCTTTTAACATCTGTATAGAAAACAAGGAAGCATTGTATTTTCTTTTTGCTCCTAAGTTTTACAGTTTGGTTAGCTGAATAAGGGTAACTGCTTTACAGTTCAGCTGTGAATACTCTATGCATTAAATTGCTTCAGTCATTTTCACCCTGTTTGAGTTGAAAAAAATTGGGCTAACAGGTACACTTAGCACAGTATAAAGACAGAACTACACATATCAGCAAAGCAAAGCAAAGCACTTATCTTCCACCTTGCTAATATTTTTATGAGATTTAAGAAAAAGACTCTGAATAAACTAATTAGAAAAAGGGCATGTGTAGTGTTTCTGTTTTTCTCTTACCTACTTCTTCATCTTTTTTTTCTTGGGCACAGGCTAAGAACTCCTTCTCAATGATTAGCATGTCGTCATGGCAATGACAGGCTGCATATTTTTCCAAGAGATTTTTGTTCAGGTCAAGAAATGCCTTACCCCATTTAAATTTCCTTAGAAGAATGGTGGCTAGATCTGGGAATCCTAAAACAGAAAATAATTTATCAGTTTTCTTCTTTACTGTGAGATTTCACTTGGCTTCTAGTTCAGTATGTGCATTCATGTCAATACAGTAGAGAGATGTTTACCAGTGTTTCTTCCAGTGTTCGGGGATTAAATCTTTTGGAAAGACTACAACCATTTTCAAATTTCAGTTTAACCTGAAACATGGAACTGAATCCAAGAGTAGTTAGTTCATAGCCTTGTAACAAGTGCTACATAAAATATTTTATACAGGTAATGAATGATTCTAGGTCCCACAGCCCTTCAGTACAAGACAAATTGTACAGTATTTTCAGAAGATAAGATTTGTCTGCAGTATGGTAGAGCATTTCTTATCAAAGTTCTGTGATGAGTCTGCAAAACATCACAAGAGGGGGCAATTTCTTAGTTCTTACCCAGACCTCGCCCTAGTAACAGCCAGCTGCTACCTCTCATTAAGGCAGTCTTGCCTAAGCATTTGTGCTCACTCTTCTTTAGAAGAGTGAGAAGAGTTTTCTTAGAAAAACTCTAGTTTTTCTAAGGTTATGCACCATCCAGAGAAAATGAGGATTATCACTTTGTGTCCTGTTTAGTAGCTGACATGAATACTCCATGGATACCTCAGTGTAACTGATAACACACCCTTGGAAGAAAGCTAGACAATCTGATCCCAAAGTCAAGAAAGTGACGACCCATACGACAGCATTACAGTTTATTTTGCCGCAGACCATCTCTTCTGATATATTAAAGATGTAGCAATTGCTAGCACCATACTTCACATCAGGCAAATGGAGCCTACCAACAATGCAAAACGCTGCAGCAAAAGCTTCCACACAGGACAGCTTGCACGGCCGACCGTAGTTAACAGGATTTGCAGCCACCAAGTAAGGCAGCAACCGCAGATGACTTCCCCTCATTCTCTGAAAGGGAGTTTCTTCTAATTTGGCCCATGAGCAATCTATGACTGCAATTCCATTCTGAGCAATGACGCGTCTGAAAAAAAAGAAACGTCACTGTGTTATAAATTAGAAGTTTGACTAGGCCAATATTCAAGCAGCAATCAATTTATTAACTAATATGGTAAAGTATGAGTAATACAGCCCTGGGTACAGCGGGGGAAGTTTTCCCTCCAACTGCACACCAATAGTTGGGGCTTACAGATATTTATAGGGGTACTCATAAGCTTTCTCAGCAGTTTCTATTCCCAATTTTTATGTCACCATTCTATACACTATTGTGATTTAGTTTTTCTCAGGATGACTCCCAGAAAGGAGTATCCCCAGATGGTGGGGTCCAGCTTCCGAAAGAAGAAAGAAGTCTCCCAGCTGGTGAGGTCCAGATTCCAGATGCGGGTTCACCTTCTAATTGCAAGGACTATAAATCTCATAGCAGTGATGTCCAGCTTCCCTTGGTCGAAACTATTAGTGCTTGAGTTGAGGTTCATCTTCCTTTCTCAAGCTGCTTTTCAATATTTTGTTAAGGTGTTGAGATAAGCATGTTTCCTTCTGATATATTCTAAAGCTATAGTTTCAAAGATCCTTACTACAGGCAATATTCTAAAATTATACTTCAAAAGGTCATTACTGCAAAACTCTTTTTAGGTAGAAGCAGAAAGTTCCTGTCAAACAGCAACATCCTTAGAGCTTTAATTCGAATGCTCCTAAATCAACTTAAGACTTATAAAGTTTAATTGCAAACAAAGGATAGGTTCAAAGGCCTTCTTCCATGCTTTACTTCCTCAGTTATTTATTAGAATTGTCTTTATAACTGTCCCATGGTCAGTTTCCACGCATATCACAATCACAGATACACACGTTGCCTGTATGTACCTGACACAAAACACAGCTTTGTATTTCACAACTGTATTTGAAAAATTGTTACCATTGTACTGATGAAGTGAGAATTCCAATTGATGCTTTATACTGGCAACAAACTTGCATACATCCCCTGCTTTTGTTAATCAAAACCCATATGCTTTACAATAACCTCTAACAGAGATGCAATGAGAAAGAACAGTAGCACTGTTTTCCTCCAAACATGCAAATGGCAAAAAAAGTTTACCCGTGTGATTCAAAATGAAATGTGAATAATTCTAGGTTTAAAAATGTGACAGAAGTGTGGTTAATAGTAATGTTCACACCTTCAACTACACCGAAGTTCCTAGTAGGTTCTCTGCTAAGTTCTCTCTGCTTCTAGAGACAAATCTTTTCTCTGAGTAAGTGTATCTTTATAAAAATTCTGCAGGCACATTTGAAGAAAAGTCTCATTTTCTGCAAAAAGTTTTCGGGTTAACACATTGTGTTGTCTAACTAAAGAACTTACCTATAGCATGATAAAAGACACAGCAGCTACAGGGCCATGCTCTGAAGAAATTAACCTACAGGATGTGCACTTTGATTTTTCATTGGGAGCTACAGATGCTTTTCTCATCATAGCTGTGTAAAAATGTTAAGCTGATTTGATAAAAGGACTATTTCTCATGTTCATGCATCAGTGTAACGTCATAAGAAGGTCAGTTTTATTCCATATGAGTTTCAGCCATGTATCAGTGGTTCTTTAATACAGCATCAGGACGGGATTTGAAGCAAGTGCTGACCCTCACAGCCTGCACCTCCCCCACTTCCCTCGCCGCCGGGTTTTGCCAACAGGCACAGAGGCCCTACCTGTCAGCCGGAGAGACGTACTCCGTGGCCAGCGGACTCAGGACGACGCCTGGGAATCTCTGGCGGAGGCGCAGGGTTCGCAGCAACCCCTTCCGAGCTAGTTTTCTCCCGGTGCATTTCTTGGGATCGCAGTGTCCGAGCTCCCACATGGCAAGGGGGCAGGGGAACTTGGCCTCCCGAGCGCCCCCATCCGCGGCCGTCTCGCCGTCCAGGCAAGCTGGAAACGGCAGGTGTACGTCAATGCCCAGCGGTGACGCGGCACAGCTCGGCAGGACCCGCCTGCCCTTGCCCGCGGCCCGCGTCGCCTCACGCACCTGCCAGCGCGGCCTCCGCTTCCGCCGCGAAAGTCTCGAGGCTGAGAGCCCCGCGCCGGCCTCCGCGCCGGCCGCGCTCCATGGCCGCCCTCGGCGGAGACGCCGCCCCGCGGGGTCGCGCACTTCCGCTTCCCGCGGAGCGGGCGATGGCGGGCCGGGGCCGGGGCCGGGGCCGGGGCCGGGGCCGGGGCCGCGGGCGGGCGCGCTGGTCGCTTGGTCCATCCGCCGCGCCCAACTGCTCTCTCCTAGCAGGTCCCTTCGCCTCGGCGGGGAAAATGAAGATCGTGGAGGAGCCGAATACGTTCGGGTACGTGGCCGCGTGCTCGCCCTGTCGTCCCGCGATCCACCTGCACTCGACGGGTTCGGGTCTGCTTGCCGTCGTGCCCGCTCCAGCCCGTTTTTTCCAACGCAGTTGGCTCGCGGGCAGCGGCCGTCGGTATTGAGACACACAGGTAGGGGAGGATGTATGCACGCCCAGATGCATAACTCAGCCTTAAACGTTTGACTTTCCTTTTTTTGAAAGGTTGAATAACCCATTCTTGCCTCAAACAAATAGACTGCAGCCAAAGGTGTCCCCGTCTGCAGTATCAGGTATATGCAACCGTTACTTTATTTTATTTTTGGTACAGTTTTCATCATGTAGCAGCAGTTGTTTGCAGTGCAAATAGTCTATTTCGACTTTATGCATACAAAACCGAATTTTATGTGTTGTTTTATAAACATCATGTAAAGTAAGCACGGGCAAATATATTTTATTGTGCTCCTGAAGGATTAAAACCTATATTACCTTCACTGGTGGTTCCAGGTGCCAGTGCTATTAATACAGTTTTTGTAATGGGACTATGCATATGTTTTATTCTGTGTTTTTCTAGCCTGTAAAAGATCCTTTTGACCCACAGTAAACACTTTTCTCTTGACACAATCCTCAATGTCATTGAGATTATCATATAAAAGTCATCCCATCATCCAGTAGTACTTAGTACCCAAAAATAGTTTAAAAAAGAAGTCCTAAGAGTAGGTTTGGAACCAGTCAGAGGGGCTCAATTTCACACACACAGCCTCAGTGTTGCAACATAAATGCATCCCTTAAGCAAAATGAACAGGAAAGTTCTAGGCCATCTCTGGAGGAGAGCAAATAAACACTGAAGGCAAAGACTAAGCAAAAGGGAGTAACTCTTGTCTCTCTGCTAACCTTAGGCAGAAACTTAAACCTTGTTCAGATTCAGGAAAGACATTTTGGTATGACGACATTGAATGTAATTATGCTTAATGTTTTCTGTCACTTTTTATAAACTCAAGTGTATAATTCTGCATGTACTGCATGTGAAATGTGAAATAGTTAGAAATGGGATTAGTAATAGAATGCTGAATGAGAAGTTGCCAAAAGTAGTAGGAAAAAAAGGACAGCACAGCATTTCTTTGTTGTGGGATCTTACATGTAGCCAAAAATTGGGAGTGTATATGGAATATGAACCTAAGGGCATGGAACCCTGCCTTGCCGAATAATTTCTTTAGCATGGAAACCGTACTTGTTCTTTTCTTCTACAAAACAGTTGGGGTAATAGTTCTGGTAGTTTCTCTTCTACAGCATCTGCCCTGGAAAGGGAGGACATAAGTTTAATGCATTCCTTATGGACACATTCACATTTGCTGTTTTTCATTTGTGGGGAGAGCATCCTAATCACTGAGGCACAGATTTCATGTAGTAGAGGAGCAAACCCTTTGGCCAAGCCCATCTGTAGAATGAAATGCAAGATCGTGCAGTCAGAAGAACACCTGGGAAAGAGCACCTGCCTGTATCCCAGTATCCCAGTATCCCTGTATCCCAGTGGTTAAAGCATTCTGGAGGGCGTGATTCTGGTAGTCTGACCTTTGTTTGTAGGATTGCTTGTCTAGATACTTGGAAAAAGTGCCTACACAATCCTGACAGTGGGGAATTTGAATCCAGGATGGGGTTTTACTTTATTTGCTTTGTAATCTCTTTTCTTCTTTCCTCATAAACATTTAGTGATTCCAAGGTAAATTTCCTTATATGAGAGATACTGAAATACTCCTCTATCATGTAGTTCAGAACTTTTTGCCCTCTTTTTAAGGAGAAGTTACTTGTCTTGGATTTCTTTGGCAGCAAGCCTTGTAGTCAATACTAAAAGAATAGAATTGCAATTGCTGATCTGTCTGACAGCAAAAGTTTTATCTTGTTAAATACTACCTGGATCAGACATGAAGGCAAATGACAAAAAAGATTATCCAGTTTGAGAATCTCAGTGAAACTTAAATATGCAGCACTGTTAACATTTTGAACAAGTGAGCTGTACTAGTATAAACTTGCAGAGTTTGGATGAATTTGGAGCTGCCAGGCAAGAGTTTCAACTATTTCAATGTTAGATTTTGGCAGGATCTGCACTGATGATTCCTCTTATGGACCTGGCCTCCAAATGTTTATTTTTACACGGGTTTCTTGTTTTTGTTGTCAAATGAGGCTTATCTGTTCCACTGGCTAGTGAGAATGATAAACGTCAAAGATCGTGATGCAATCCTGTATAGTGCTAGTAAGAACTTACGGTAATTCACGTGGAACATTAAAATTTCCTTGTGTACAGCAGAGAATTAAATTTGTCACATACTCCTCGCACTTTTATCACCACAGTAGCTTGCTTAAATTTAACCAAAACATTATTTTTCCTTTATGTCATGTTGTGATGTTTTTAGGCCCTGCACATCTCTTTAGGCTTGCTGGCAAGTGTTTCAGTTTTGTGGAATCCACGTGAGTAACGGATTTGGATATTTGCTTATATACTTACTAGGAATAAACTAGTTTTTTATTCCAATCTGAAACATTTCTTATTTTCTGTTTCTTTTCTCTCCTTTTAAGGTACAAGTATGAGTTTTGTCCATTCCATAATGTCACTCAGCATGAGCAGACTTTTCGATGGAATGCCTATAGTGGGATTTTAGGGTGAGGCATTTAGACCTTTTACGTTTTAGCTATGTTGTCAGCAGGCCACTTCTTAGATTGTAAAAATTAGGCCGTTTTAAAACTGAGATTCTTCCATTGCTCAGCTTAGGTCATGGTAGTTCCCAAGGCATTATACATAAAAATACCCTGTCTTGAAAAATTCCGATTTTTTTTTGTTGTTGTTGATAAATACTAACCTCCTCTTTTAGCTGGAGACTGATTGATAACCCCTGCCCACTGCAAGTGTGATATGTTCACGTGAGAAATTCAATAATGTCTAACTACAGCTTATATTAACAGAGATTTCATGGCCATTAACTATTTGCAGTTTGGGTTAAATACAAATATTACAAAATTAAAAGAGTGCTTTATGCCTAATTGTTGTTAAACAATATAAACCAGACCATTTCTAGATATTTTGTGTATAGATGTCTCTTTTTTTCCTATGTGCAAAACAGTAAGTGAGTATGTGAGGAAACTGGCACATCACCATGCTGAGGGTATCAGGCTTTAGGACTAGCAGAAGTAAACTAGTTTTTGTAGGTGCTCTCACCAGCACTAAAAATCCTGCAATCAAACTAAGTTTCATGATGTACTTAGCCTCATGGAATTTGTTCTAGGATTGATCTCTAAACTTTATTTTACTAGACTTAAACACAGATTTCTAACTGCAAATGGTTTGCAAACTGCTCTCAAAAGTGCTGTTGATGTGTCCTGTATAGCAACCTGGATAACAAACTACACTGCTTCCAAGGTGTTGGCTATAGGAAGTGGAAATCCTGTGACAACAGAAATGAAGTATATACAGTTAAATTGAACATGGTATAAGGGTATTCTTGGTTTTCTTCCTGAGGGTTCATCTTTTTCTGTCCAGTAACTTAAAACAAAATAGTGTCCTCTTTTTTCAGAATCTGGCATGAATGGGAAATTGACAACAACACATTTGTTGGAATGTGGATGAGGGAAGGAGACTCCTGTGAAACTAAGAGCAGACAGACAAAGGTATAATAACTTAGACTGTGCTAATTCAGACAGCATGACTCTACGAACACTTGTGAGACTACAGACTGAAACATTCCTACCCTGAAGAAGTCATCATTTAAGCTGTGATAGGAAACATAAAGATGAATTCCTGCAGAGACTATGTGAATGACTGGAGGAGGAAAGCTAGAATCAGGATAAAATTTTGAGGACATTTACTTATGGATTCTCATTGGTTAGTTACAACTCTTTTTTTCTTTGATAGAGTGGTATAATTATTACTGTAGAAATACAGTTCAGTGCTTTGTAATATGTGTCGGGCAAAATAAAGAAAAAGAGCTCTTTGCAGAATTCAAGATGCCAGCCTGTTAAAAACATCCAGGAAAAAGGAGGGAAAAGAATTTGGCAGTTAACAATAGCATGCTGAGGAGCTAAGCGTGGTGTTAGAACAAGCACTTGGGACATTTTAAAAAAGACTTTGAGGTGATGGAGCATGTCTAGAGAAGGGCACTGGAGCTGTGCAAGGGTCTAGAGTGCAAGTCTGATGAGTAGCACCTGTCAGCCAGCATCCCCAGGTCTTTTTCCACCAGGCAGCTTTCCAGCTATTCTTGCCCGAGCCTGGAGAAGCGCACGGGGTTGTTATGATCGAAGTGCATTACCCAGCACTTCACCTTATTGAATTTCTTGCAGTTAGCTGCCAACTTGGCTGCCATATCCTGGCCATGGTGAAAATGTTATACTCTAATGGAGGTGCCTGCTTAACATCTTTATTTCTCATGGAAGCTGCAGAAAGAATTCATATTGTATGACCTTTGATATTGTGATTGAATTTTTCACTGGCATTTCATTTTGAAGACACAAAATACTTGTGCTGCAAATCTAAAGATGAAAACAATTCTCTGCAGTCTGGATGCGTCTTGTATTCTTAAATTAGCACATTGGTCAGAAATAAAATTTAAGAAGATTATGCTTATGTTAGATGAGATTCTAAAGGCATCCTATTCGCTGTCCTTTTTACTCTCATTCTTGCTGGAAATATGGTACTTAGTAGTTCAAGAAACAATGGTTGGTGGGGAGAATAATTTCCCATTAGAGAAAACAATTTTCACGTTTGATAAAATAAATGGATGATGTGCTGCTGTGATGCTTTTTCTGTCCGAAAGAAATAAAAAAAGGCGCTGGAAGCTTTGACATGACAGTGTGTGCAGAAATGCATCTACTGGCATTGGAACACAGCAGATAGATCATCAGTGATGGTATCATTTCATGTAGACATTTTTTGCGCATCTTTGTTTTTACTGATGTTTAGGTTCATCTTGTTTGTGGGAAGAGCAATAAATTGGCTTATGTGTCTGAGCCAAGTACTTGTGTTTACTCTTTGACATTTGAGACTCCTCTCGTGTGCCATCCCCACTCACTTTTAGGTAAGATTTAAAAAATACTTTGTGGAACAGCTAGCATATACACTATCCTCAGAGTGTCTGGTTTTAGGTTGAGTTAGTACCTTAATATGAATTAGTAACAAGTGTTAACATATTATATGAAGTCATTATAACACAGGTATTTCTCAAATATTTTTTTTTATTTGAGATTATAAATTTGTAAATTTTTTTTTTGTCATTGCTAGTTTAGACCCAGTGAATGATTTTTTTTTTCTTTTCTTGGTCTGTAGGAATAAGCCCTGTAGTATCTGCCCATTTACTTACATTGCAAAAAAGCTCCATTAGAATTACATTGAGCAAAGGAATATGAGGCCTTGGATCTTGAAATAATAAAAATTTCTGGTCATTCTCCAGAAACTTTAAATGTGCAAAGTGCAATTTAAGCCTAAGCCCAGCTCTTGAAAGCAGTGGAGGCTGTGTACTGTAAAGAAACAGTGAGTTCTTAAAACAAATATTCTTGCATGATACTAGAGGATGAATTAACTAATGCAAGACAGCACTCCTGGTTTTTACATGGTTTGACTTCCATTTTTCAGTTTATCCAACTCTGACTGAAGCACTACAGAGGAAGTGGGATGAAGCAGAGCAGCTTCTGTACGACGAACTAATAACCGACCAGGTTTATTAATTCTTCCAACTCTATTTGGTAAAAAAAAAAAGTTACTGTCAAATAGCCAAACCTGGCTTCTGTAGTTTCTCCTTTCGGAGCAGATGCATTTATTCTGCAGTTGGCAAATAGTAATTTTTGTGTTCTGTAACTGCTGTATGAACTGGTAATGAAGCTTGAGGACTTGGAATGGCCAGTGCAAATTACAAGCAGAGACGAGAGTATAACAGATTGATCTATCACCTTTTGGAAACTTTCTTTTCTAGGGTTACAAAAAAATTCTGAAAGAGATTTTTGAGGAAGCAGGACTTCTAAAAGCAACAGAAGAAAATGAAGTTGAAAAACAGAGTAAGAAAATAACTCCGGAATTTGAAACAGTGGAAAAGTGCAGTAAGGTATAGAGCATAATATTTACAATGTGGAATTGCCACCTTTTCACTGTATGACAGTATCTAGTGGGAGAGCATTATGTAAATTCCCTTGGTGTTCAGCTGAATCTCTTCATGGGGTTATCCTTTCTGGTTTCAATATGTGACAGCCTGCATGTAGTGTGATTCAGTATCTTTATTATAGCCCCTAAGTCAAAAACAAACCAGCAAAAATGAATGCCCAGTAAGAAGATAGGGGTTGCGAAGGAATTGGTGTAGTCGCTTGGGTTATGAACACTTTGTAGGTACTCTTTCTGGGGAATATCAGTCTGGAGACAGGACGGAATTACTTGCAAAGATAAATGTGTAACCAACCTCGAGAATGTTGACACTTTTAATTATCTCTGTGGATGATTACCCAAACTTGTGTAAGAATACATTGGCTGTTGCACAAGCAAAAGGCAGAAGGGCTGTATTTATTTCTGAATGACTCTTGTGTATGTGAACAGTTCTCCTGCAACAGAGTTGGAATGGGGAAAATAGAGGCAGAAGGTGTGCTCAGCCTAGAAGAGCGCAACCTGACCACAAGAAAAAGAGCACGGATGGGAATTCATTCATTGCAATGCAGAGAAGCAGTTGGTGTTGTCTTTTTATTTGAAAAGTGTAGCAAAGACAAAACACCATGTAGTAATTCATTAATATAACTAAATAAAACCACAGTTAAGCTGAATAGACTTTAATATAGAGACCACCATTTTGATCTCATAGGAGCTGGTACAGTCACATGATTATTTTTTTCACTCATTAACAATACAGTATTTAATAATTTCTATTTCTTTTTCTGGCTTCATCATAGCTTAATTGACATAATTTGGTAAACACAGAATCTTAAATACTTATTCTTTTGCTTTATCTTTATTCATATAAACACCAAAACACAACAAAAAATAGGGGCTTCTCTGAGATTTCAGGTATGTGCTTTGAGTCTCAAAAGAATTAAGCAATTCTGTTCCTGTAAGGTCAGGAACAGAAAATGCTGAGAGCAAGAACATGAAGTTACTAGGCCAAGAGTTGAGGAGTTGACAAATTTCCAGACCGTAGAATTACAATCATTATAAAATAAGGGCAGTCCTGAAGCAAACTTAGGATTTCTTCTATGATAAAATGCTAATTACAGGACAGATATGAAATAATTACAGAAAGCATTTCTAATTTTTACTCTTGGGCTTGAAAAAAGCTGGCTCCTCTTTTAGCAACACAGACATGTATCTTTTTCTAAAATTTGCTCTATGTTCTTGGAACAAGCACTTTAAATTCTTCAAAGCCAAGAAGTGTAACAGCTGTGCACAAACACATTTTTTTCTTAAAAGCTCCCAATCTAGGTATGTATTTGAAAAGTGGGAGGGCAATTTTTAATATATTTTCTTTCTTAGGAATACAAGCAACTTTCTGAAGAAATGAAAAAACTTAGAGTTTTATTAGGTCAACATGGTATTGCTTACAAAGGAAATTCTGGTGAGTTTTTTTGGTATCATTCTTCAATGCTGTTTTACAGGAACAGTTTAAAAATCTGGCATATATGGTGGTAAAATTCAGTAGACAAAGTTTTTAATAAGTACTTAGGTTTTGATTCCTGTGCACAAGGACTTACTTTGCTCTCAGATCTGTTGATGACTTGAAATTCTAGCTTTATAGAAAAATTTTGACCGCTGTTGTAACTGAAGTTTGTTTCCAGTCCTTAAGGTGCCAATTTAAAAGGAAACCGATATTACCTCATTAATAGAACAAATGTGTCTGTTAAGTAACTCCACTTCTGTATTTTAACCCCAAGGCCTGATTCCTTTCATAACACTTGAAGTTTTCTCTGTATCTTTTTGGATTGTTTTTTTTCCCTTTTTGAAGTTGCCTGTTTCTTTCTTCCCTCTCTTTGATTTCTGTTAGGTAAGTACCATACCACGTGCAGTTTTTAGTAGGAAAGACTGGTGCTGGCTGTGAAGGGGCACAGCTAATCTGGATTAATTCCAGACAAGTTGTTTTTTGATTTTTTTTTCTTTGGAGAGGTTTGTAATTTGGTTTTCTGTTTGTTTGTTTGTTTTCCCTCATTCCTGCCAGACCATCATGCCCTTTATTACATGAACTATTTCTCAAAGGAGAATTTAATGTCCAGGAATACATGTATATACATAAATACATATATCTTTTTTCTTTTACAGATTGTATGCTCAGAATTGGCACTTCAACAAAACAAAGAACCTTTGAGCTAATTAACTTAGCTTAAAATTAGTGACACACTTATTCTTTTCTTTTTGCTTTGAAAAACTTTTCTAGGGAAAAACTCATATAAAAAATTTGTAGAACATGTTATCTGCACACATTTAAACTACTATTTGCACAGTATTTCTGCCTGTTTGGTAGTTCTTTCATTATTGCAGTAGTTCTTTTAATTATTGCAGATTAGCACTCTATAATCAGAAGTAGAATTCAGTTTACTGTAGATTACTTACTTCAAAATTATTTAGTGAATTCTGTGATAAAAATGTTGTGGTGTTTAAAAGCCAAAATAACTGATGTCATATTAAAAAACTAAATTTTACAGCTGGAAATACCAGTGTTGAGCATGTAAGTCACCAACTGGCAACTGCAGTGGCATCAGTTCTTAATGGGTCAAAGAACGACGAGCACCTGCATGGCGATACAGGAATTTGGAATTACACTCTATGAAGAAACTTGGGTGATACAGAATGCAAATTAAACTGAACGTGTATTATGCCACAAAGATTATTTACCTTCTTGTGAGTATTCTTGACTTTGTTTCAATTTGTGCCCTAAAGCAAACAGTGTAGTAGAGTGAGGGCACACCATTATGAGAACAGTTAGCTACTTTCTGACAACATTTGTAACACTTCTTTGGTAAGACTAGTATTTGGTACAAACTTAAAAGAGTCTCTGCGCCTAGTCCCAGCTTTTGCTGTGGGAGAAGTTGGAGTGAATACAAACCAGCTCAAGACCAGTGCTGCAAGATGTTTTAAGAAAGGTACTAAATACAATGTTAACAACATGCTATTTCATCTATATGCTAAAACGTTTTCTGGGCACACTTTAGCAGAAAAAGAAACATTTTCTGCCACAGCAATGCAGACCACACCACTCCATCGACTCGTGTTCAAAGGTCGATGTCGTCTTTGGCTGTCAGGTTAAATGGAAGTTGGTCAGAATCTGACAGAAAAGTGCAATGAAATCACTGAATTGTTACAAAAGCATAGTTGTGTTGAGGAAATACCCATTCCTCCTAGCTGGGGATCGGGAGCAGCGGTGAGGGAGCCCGGGAACAGACAGCCGAGCACTCTTTTGTGCGCCCATGTCCAGCGGTCACGCTTTTTGGCCGCCCCACACCTGCGCCTTGCGGACCGGCGGGCGCCTCCCCGGACAGCGAAGCCGCCGCGCCGGGCATCCGCCCCCCGCCGCCGCCGCTCGCGCCCCGGGCCGGCCGGACCCGCGCCCGGCCCAGCCGTGAGGGCGGCCGGGCAGCGAGCGCCGCCCGCCATGCGCCGCGTCCGCTTCCGCCCCGCGCTGCCGCTCTTCCCTCAGCCCCGATCAAGTAAGCGCATCCCCGCGGGTGGCCGCGGGCCTCGGGGTGTTTTCTGCCCGCCGTGCCCGCGTTCCCTTCGGGGCAGAGGAGTGGGCGAGGACGGGCCTGCCACTGCACCGGGCGGGGGCCGCTCGGCTCCCCGTCCCCCGCCGTGGCTCTGCCCCGGCCGCTCGCCGTGCCTGCGCGCGCTGCGGAGCCGTGGGGCTGCAGCAG